TGGAAGCATGTAAGAGAACTGAACACTTTTTTATTATTATTAATACCATGAACAATCAAGGAATCCAGGTATAATGGTAGCATATGACTCTCCCTTCTAAGCATTCATTTAGCTTAGAATTGAAGTACCAGTTAGGAAGGCATTGATACTTATTATTTGTAAAGCGACTGAGCCACCGAAAGATTGAACGTTTTAGCTCAGTCCAACCTTCAGAGTTTGGGAAAACCATTAGACGCTATCCGCCTCAAACTTATCTCAAACAAGTTCTTTATTAAAATAACAATTTCTAATAGTTCAGAAATTTTAAATACATTCGATTAATCAACCCTGCTGTAACGCATTGTGATTATCATTGCATGCACATGATCTTACTACCTACTCCTTGTAATTCTTCATAGTTTCTAGTGGATAGGAAATATAAGGAAGCTCTATCTGAAGGGAGCGCATTTGAAAGGTTTGTTGGGAAGACTAAATGAACACTATTGGTACTTACTTGGAAAGAAGCAATTATAGTAAATGCGTTTCGGTTTCACGGTCAAAGGTCAAGAGTTTTCACACTTTTAGGCTTGAAAACAATTCAAATTTAATAACGGAAGATCAAGTTTATTTATTTATAGGAGCATTAAGATCACCCTTGTTAACTGAACTCTGATGGTACTAGTATTACAAAGTAACAGTGAATGATATTAAATATGGTCAGTTCAACTCAGTTTATATTATACAGGATTATCGTTAAAAAATTCGTAATTATTTATTCACTGTTTCACGTTACAAGAGACTCAAGGTACTTACTATGAAAACAAGCACGTCAGTAAGCTTGATTTGAATCGAACCATCACTAATTGTAACAGGTTAGAATCTTCACTCTATATGCTTCTAGTTTAGATTTCTGTATTCCCTCAATCTGAGGCTTCGATCATTGCTGATTGTTGTTTAGTGTAATCCCTATTTAGTATAAGTGCTCTTCCTTGGCGGACAGTTCACCTCCTGTTTGTTTAATTTCCTCCGTAGTCCTCTCTATTTACACAACTCTCCATTCTCCACCAGCTCGAAAGTTGTATTCTGGCTGGATACAAACCAATGTACAAATATATAGAATACTTCGTTTAATGTATTTTATCTTTCAATGAAAGAAGTGCTAAGTCCGGAGAGGACATAATGAAACTCACCACCTTTATAAAATCGACTATTTTGAACTATCTCGGCAGACGAGAGTCCGTTGCCTAATATCTGCTAATGTAACCGTGATCCATGAAAATCCTTCTGAGGGTGATTGGTCTCCCCTCAATCGGGTTAAAATGAGCAAAAAATCGTTATCAGAAGGGTTCAAAAGCCCAGATCTTAGAAGGAAATTAGTTAACTGTTCGGTTGTACAATAGGCTACTCAGACTATTTAATAATTTGACAAAAAGCAAGGGAAATCCAGAAACGAAACAAAGAAGGACCTCAGCTTGTGACAAGTTATTGATCATCATGAACGTTTTGGTTCTCAGAACAAAATCAACAGGGTGCTCTGGAAAGAACTGAACAGAAG